TAATGTGTGCTCGGTCAATGAATGCTAAATGTTTCCTTGTAGGGAAACGGCTAATATTTCAATTATCATTACCATTTAGCCTTAAAGGACACTTAATTAAAACCGTATGAAGCCATTGTGAAGCACGTAGTATGCAACTCTACTGAACGGATTGTGGAGATTATAAAGACTCTGTGATCCCAACTTTGGTCGGTTTTTATTGAAAACTTACCCCACATGATTGTTTTGTTTGCCCCACATGATTATTCATTTGAAAACTTGATGCATCTCACAAGGTTTTGTAACCTAGGAAAGGTTACTGAATGAGGAATAATCAAAGCGGAGGTTGGAAATGAAATGTTAATCTTTATAACATCAACAAAATAAAATACTCGCCAGCGGCGTGAAGTAGGTAAACCACTGCTAGTGTTGGACTACTTAGACAGCATATTACCCTCATTTACAATAGTGTCCAAAGTATTTATGAGGATTAAGACATACCCATTAGTGTTCATAGGTACGGTATATAACAGATTTTTTGCTTTTATTCCTAATCCCTTTTCTGCCATCCATTTAGACACGCTTTTTAGGTAGGTTTTGCACAGTTTTCCTCTACCCCTCTTGCCTTCAATCTGCCCTGTGAGTGTCAAATGTAAATCCAAAACTCTTTTCGTTTTTGTTGTAAACTAGAAAAAGGTTATTGAATGAGGAATAATCAAAAACTGAGATTGGAAATGAAATGCTAAACTTTATAACATCAACAAAATACAATACTCGCCAGCGGCGTGAAGTAGGTAAACCACTGCTAGTGGTGGACTACTTAGACAGCATATTACCCCCACTTACAATAGTGTCCAACGTATTTATGAGGATTGGACATACCCATTAGTGTTCATAGGTACGGTATATAACACAAGGAATTCCTTGGTTTACATCAGGTCAAAGAGAACGTACTTTCATCTAACAAAAAAATAAGCCACACTTATTAAATCAAGAAAAATTGAAAATGTTATTAATAAACTTGTCAAAAAAGGCAAATATTTGAGAACTAAAGCCCTGGAATCTCCTACAGGAAGATACGATAATCTTCATTTTCCGTTCGGACCATGTTGATATAGCTGTTTTTTTCCCCCAGAATAAAAAACAATGCTAACCTTTGGACTGACGCTAATGTAAAATACAAAATACATGACGCTCACTATTGGACATTATTCATTGATTTAAGTAAAGTTAGCTCCAAATCTGTGTTGTTAAATATTGATAACAAAATCATTCCATTACCGGGAAGTGTGTTTTCAGCACGAAAAAAACGGGATGGGATTGCTTCTGAAACGAGTGAACTATTTGTTAAAGGTAATCTTCCAATACATGACTTACGAGGCAGATTTTTTCCCTCAGTAGGTTGCCATTTCTTTCTGTGGTAGACCAGTTACCATCCAAGGCTGGTCTGTCTTGCTATTTATCCATAGCTGGGGGGAGAAGAGGAGGATTCATACCTTTCCCAAGCACGTAAGAAAATGTAACATCACCACAGGCATTGAAAACATTCTATCAAAGATACAACTTGTACATGTTGTGAGAATGGATGAGCATAGGATTCCAGAGAAGGTGCTGTATGGACAACTAGCAGACTCCAAGCGTTCAATTGGAAGACCACTCTTACGCTACAAAGACAAATTGAAACTTCCTAACTTTGATCTGAAAACCTGGGAAGCCCAAGCATCAAACGGAAAGGAGTGTCGTAAGACATGTTTCATTAAATTAAAGGGTTTTGGAGACAGTAGACTGAAGCACCGTCAAGCTCTGAAGCAGAAACGCCATCAAAATCCTGCTTTAAGAAATTTCATCTGTCTATGTGGCTTTGTCGCCCGCAGAAAGGCTGGGCTAGCATTACACTTAAGAAAGCAGAAATGAAATGTCTTTCCCTGATATAGCTGTTTTTTCCCCCAGAATAAAAAACAATGCTAACCTGATTTTCCCTGATTTTCTCCACAATAGCCTCTGCTAGCATGCATAAGTGTAAAACGAAAGGCACCATCCAATGCTGACCCTCATTTATTGTTCACAATAGAGAGTCCATATATATATATATATATATATATATATATATATATATATATATATATATATATATATATATTCTCAAAATGTGTGTGTGATCGCATTTCCACGGTTTTCATCCGATTTTGATGAATTTTTTTTTGTTTAATAGATAATTCTTTAGTGCCGGTTTTAAGTCCAAATTGTTGGCGACAATGGCTCTCCTCTACTTCCCGTCCGTTATATCTCCCAGCAACGTTTTACTATTTATTATCTGTTCTTGGATATATATCTTTCATAAAAACTTTAATAAAAATAATTAGTTTAATTTATTACAATAATATTATCTATATCTATAATTCTCAAAATGTGTGGGTATGTATGTGTGTGTGTATGTTGTGTGTGTGTGTGTGTATGTTGTGTGTGTGTGTGTGTGTGTATGTTGTGTGTGTGTGTGTGTGTGTGTGTGTGTGTATGTTGTGTGTGCGTGTGTGTGTGTGAGTGTGAGTGTGATCGAATGTTGTTTATGCGTTTCCACAGTTTTCATCCGATTTCGATGAAATTTTTTTGTTTGATAGATAATTTCTTCAGTGCCGGTTTTGAGTCCAAATTGGCTGGAAAAAATTACAAGCTTGAAGTTGAAAAATCGAAAAAAAACTGATTTTTTACACTTTGCGCAAAATCAAAGGAAAAATTTAATGTCTGTAAAAAGCAGCGTACAATTAATTTAGAGAGTTGAAATCTAACGCAAAAGATTATTAGAATTTAAAAAAAATTATATTATAAATAAAAATTATCGTATATTACTATTATTATGACGGTCCATGGAAGAGGCTCCTTTCTTGCAAGATTGAGAATTAAATAACATTTACCGGCCGAGCGGTCAAGGCACTTAATATATGACGTCATTTGTTTACATTTGATACGCCATGAGCAGTTATGAATGTACGAGATTCATGGAAGATTGAAGTTTATAAGCAGTAAATTCAACTTTGCCAACCGAACGATCCTTTGTGGCCGAGCGGTCAAGGCACGTCAGCGTAAATGACGGTTCCGTATAGGATGCAGGTTCGAATCCTGTCAAAGGACGAATATTTTCTATGAAAATTTCTCGGAGATTCAGGCCGGTAAATGTTATTTAATACTGTTTATTATAAACAGAGCATTTACTTAAATACTTGTATCTATAAAAAGAACGTTAAACATAAAAATGTCTTTAATAAATAAATTGTCGGACTTTGTCCATTTCTTAATATATATATAGTATAAATTTGCTATATTTCTACGTGAAGAATGCTCAATGTCGTAGGTAGATGATTTATAGATATAGACGGTGTGGACAGAAAACAACATTAGTGACTGTTACACGCCTCTATGCATTCATTTATGCATTTGGTCAGATAATTACATAAAAGAATGTAACTGACAATTACAATATAGTGATAATTCCACATACTCACACACACACACACACACTCTCTCTCTGTCTTTGTCTCTCTCACACATAAATACCCTCTGTCTCTATAAATATTTTGTTTCAATCTCAGCACGCACGCCTTTGAACTCTAAGGTCATTTTAGACAGGTGCCGCTAAAATCTATTCTACAGTCATAGTATGTTTGAAATAGCACACGTTGATTTCAAGTTTCAGACTCCCGTTAAGAAAAGTAACGTTACATTGGCCATCTCTCAGCATCTGTTTTCTTGAAAACGAACAACACGATGGTGTATAGAGCACTCGGAGCGTCACACACAATTTCAGCAAGAGTTCATTTAAATCTTTCCACCTGACATAAAACGACTTTTTCGACACAAGGAGAAGCTCACGATAACGCTTGATAGATATTTACTATACGTTTCCTCTTTCTTTTCTCTCTCTCATATATATATATATATATATATATATATATATATATATATAAAATATATATAAAAAATATAAATACTTTCATAAAAAATATTTTTAATTTACAACTTTTTAGTCGTTTATATATATATATATATATATATATATATATATATATATTGTCAGAAAATGTGATAAAAATGTAAACCACATCAGTTCTCATGTGATGTAAATGTTGGGTTCAACTTTCTTCAGACATTTTTAGTAACACCAAAACTTTTTAAACACCACATTAAATCTCGAGAAAAATGTACATTTACCAATACGAATTTTAGATTGAGTTGAGAAAAAAATATTTGATACAAGAAACAATTTTGTTCTCAAGTTAATATAAATGGCAAATAAAGTACAAGGAAATTCTCAAGTCAAGTTCTTGTGTATGCATGCGTTCTTAAGTGTGTGTGTGTGTGTGTGTGTGCAGGCATTCTCTCAGTTGCACCAAATATTTTCTGAAAATATTTTCTGGAAATATTTTCTGAAAATATTTTCTGGAAATATTTTCTGAAAATGAAATGGACGGATCAATGTAAAGGATATTTTTTTGTGGCTATAACAGAAACCAACAGCTAAAAAAAAAATATATCTGAATAAACTTTTTTCTAAGGTTCAAACGCGGTACTTGGAATTTTTTTTTTTTTTAGTTTTGTGGTTAATTTATCCGTTATTAGTTTAATATATAGATCCCTCTATCATATCTCCATATATAAGAACGCATAGTTGGGCACCTCGATGCGGCGTAATGGTTAACAAGCTTGTTTTTACTATGAACAATTACGACTGAGTAGTGAGTTCCCATACTCTCGGCTTTGTGCCACATCTAAGCTACGCTTGGAAAATCTGTATAAGAATATATAGTGAATTAAACACGGAAAATAACCTTATAAATAATCAGTATTCGATTAGCAAAGATTTTGCTGATATTTTAAAGATTTTTTTAACTGTTGGATTCTGTTATAGACGCAAAAAGATCCTTTACATTGGTCCATCCATTTCAGAAAAATTTCCGGAAATTGGAACTAAGCTCTCTGATTAGAAATTCCGAGCCAATATCTATTCCACCACCCGCACACTCAAGCTTACAGCACTTGGTATTCCCAAGCGTTCATCTATCGAGGTACTGACTAGGCTCTACGTTGCTTAACTTCGGTGATCATACGAGAATCGATGTGTTAACGTGATGTGGCTGTAAGCCTTTCTCTCGTGTGGAAATACAGTGGAACCTTGGTTAGCGAATTTAATTCGTCCTCGAATGCCGTTCGTAACTCGAAATGTTCGTAAACCGAAACTATTTTTCCAAAAGAGAAAAAAGTCACAGTACAATAAAATTGAAGAAGAAAACCACGGCACAACACACGAAAGTATACAACAAGGCGGCCGACTCAGAAATTATTCCGTTCGTGTTAACTCGGTTCGGCTATGTTGTTCGAGAAACGAAATTTTTTTCGATAACCGAGGCATTTTCATCGTGAATTTTCTGTTCGAAAACCCATTGGTTCGTCATGTGAGACGTTCAACAACCGAGGTTCCTCTCTACAACAAATACGAGGAGGTAGACAGGCCCTGAACCCGTTTATACGTGTTCTAAGGGACTCGGAAAACCCACGCTAAACCGGTCTTGTACTACATACGACCCACGTCGTTAAATATAACAGTGCTCTAGCCTGTTCAACTGTCAAACTTTCTGCCTCGTCAGAGAGGAAGCCGGACGAGGCTTTGCCGAAGGGCAAAGTTTTGTCCGGGGAGGTAGACAGGGCCTGAACCCCATTTATGCGGGTTCTAAGGGAATATTTTTGGCCGAGCCTACTGTCTCGTAGAACCCACGATAAACTCGGCCTTGTGTCACATACATCCCTCGTGGGGAGGGGGGTTGTTAAATATTAACAGTGATATAGACTGAACGTTGTTCAACCGACACACACTTCCAAGTCGTGTGACACACTTCTGCTGTATTTACTGTTCAATACACGATTTATCTGTAACCTCTTGTTTTGTTATTTCTTAACCATTTACTTGGTCACAACACTTTATTTACAGTGGCAAGTTTTGACCACAAGAGATGGTCTTTTCCCTTTTCACGTCTTCAGTAATATAGAATTTCTCTTTTAGTTAGAATCCAGACGATGTTTGGTAGCTTAAATTTCCAGTTCCGAAACATGAACGTTTTTGTGCAGCGATGTAAAATATTTTCTAATAAAAGTATTATTAAAATATATTTTGCTCACATTTTTAAAAAAAGTAAATGCTAAAGAAAGGTAGATTCTTACTCTGTATGTTCTTTTCCTTCTATCCTTTTATTTGTATATATATATATATATATATATATATATATATATATATATATAAGTAGCGATAGATTAGCGAGGCGCTTTCGACGTTTCGTCTGCCGGAAAGGCGTTGAAGGATGGCAAAGAAGTCATCGTGCACATCGACGCGGAAACGCTTTTGGACATTATCGAGACTAGAAAGTAAAGACTGGGCATCTCATATATATGGCAGCAATACTCCATTTTCGGCCTGATTTGACTCATGTAAAGGTAGAATATAACAGGAGGAGTCAGGTAAATTACTGGAGCACTACAGGAAACCGAATATTTTTCCAGAATCTTTAGCGATGTTCCGCTGGAGGTCTGGCTTGAGCTTAAGTCAGTGTTCCACTAGAGGTCTGGCTTGAGCTTAAGTAAGTGTTCCACTGGAAGTCTGGCTTGAGCTTAAGTAAGTGTTCCACTGGAAGTCTGGCTTGAGCTTAAGTAAGTGTTCCACTGGAAGTCTGGCTTGAGCTTAAGTAAGTGTTCCACTGGAAGTCTGGCTTGAGCTTAAGTAAGTGTTCCACTGGAGGTCTGGCTTGAGATTAAGTAAGTGTTCCACTGGAGGTCTGGCTTGAGCTTAAGTTCAAATAGGCGCTCAAGGTAATGGGCCACACCGAAAGTACACCTGTTTCATCCAGGTGAAAATTACTCAAAAATGTTATTTACAAAGTTTATATTATTTTTCCACAGAATAAAAATTTGGAACCTTCTACAATACGTTTTCCCGGAGCTGACTTGAAGTTTAATGTTAACCATTATTCAATTTTTTTTTTTTTTATAATTACATTCGCCTGACTCAAGGGTAATAATATGGCGTAACCAATGAAAATCGACCTCAGTACATCCATCTTTTTCTTTTATGTGCACTTTCCTTTCAGGTTGTGAGCGATCATGGCGCTCAATAACTCCTTCTTTCTTGAACCATAACCATTCTTCTTTATACCTGTTTTGACATCCATTCACAATAACTCGTGTTATCAGCTGTTTCAACATCTTGCCTTCATTATACACTGTGGGTGTTAAAGTCTCTTGGCGTTCTTTCCTCTCATTATGTATTTTAGAAATTTTACCTGTCTCCTTCTTATTGTAAGTATAGTTTCCCTTATATTTTATATTTTCCTTAAAACTTAATTGATGTTTAAATATTCTGTCCGTGCTATTCCCGACATTCATTTGAAGAAGCGCATCTCTGTCACGAAGTCTCTTTTTCATGCGTGGCCCCGATAACGAATGCTAAGAATACCATAGACGAAACATGTGAGAAATGAGGAAATTTTAAGGAAAACAGAATCAGCAAGGAAACTGATAATGTTTGTTTCTGATTATAAGTATCTTGGATACATAATGAGGAAAGATGTCGTGGAGAAATAAATTCTCACTGGAGATATTAAAGGCAATGGAAGTCGTGGAGAAACAGGAGCTTCTCTGAATGGATGGCAGAGCAGGGGTAAAAATGGAATGGTAAAGAGTCAAAAATTATTTGGACAAATAAAAAATAGGAAGTTGTAGAGAGACATGATCGCACACATTGGGAAGTGAAACGACGCATAAATGAAAGATGCTATTGCATTCTTAATAAACTATACTATAGTTTCTATTTCGTTGAGTGCTGACTTTCCTATAAAAAGGGTGCTTGTCCCCGCCTTCGTTAATGCACGCAACCTTTACGACCTGCTAATACCTCATAAATAATGGACTATTCCGTTTTGATCGCGTGGAAAGATGGGGGGGGGGAAATACACTACTTGATTTCAGTGAGACAAATGAAATAGAGAAAGAAAGAAAAAAAGAAAGTGTTTAACGTCCCCTGCCATTAATTCATAAATAATGGACTATTCCGGTTTGAATGCGTGGACAGAGGGGGGAAAGGACACTATTTGGTTTCTGTGAGACAAATGAAATAAAGTAAGAAGGAAACATAGAAGTGTTTAACGTCTCCTGTCAATACCTCATAAATATTGGACTATTCCGTCTTGATCGCGTGGAAAAACAAAACACATATCAATATTTTATTGTCATAAAACTGGCCATGAGCTTATTTAATCATTAATTAAACAATTAAGATATATCAGAAAAGCCAGATAAGAAAGCCGTGAAACTTTCACGGGTTTTTCTCGTATATTTTATTGTTTTAGAGGAGGCCGTTGATAGACTTTCGGTCAAGTTTTTATAATTTGTTTTCGATAGTAGCTGTTATGGAGTCGGTGGGTAGAATTATGTGCCCAATTTTGTCAGAGTCATGGGATTATTATTATCATCTGTGAACTTTTCTATTTTTCTTTTTCGGTGGATTTTGTAGGAAACGAACTGGCCAGTTCGTCTTGATATATTTGACCAAAATTTCGACCTAAAAGAATGTTAGTCGGATTAAAATATTAGTGTATAGTGAAAACAACTTTTATATGGTTATTTTAAGAGTACCTTAGATGTGGCACATCTAAGATATGGGACACCCAGTGAGAATGGAACTCACTAGTCAGTCATAATTGATTTAAGGAGACCAGCTTACTAACCATTACACCACGTTGAAATGGTCAAACAGCTTTTATATAAACTGCGAAAAAAAAAAAAAATGAAAACAGGAATATCTCCGAGATATGCTTGTACTTTCGAACTAACATAGACACATCTTTCGTTCTCGGTTCCACTTACACGCATATATAAGTACTTAAATAGATATAAACATTTCTACCTTCATACTTTTCTTTCATTTTTGTTATCTTTCCAGACAAAACTTGTGTCTACGTAGTGACAAAGATAATTACGTATTTATCAGCTGCCGCTGTACTTAGGCAGTAAATGTTCTTCAAGTCAAATATTATAATAAATGATTAGTTTTAATGATCGACTTTTTCAAATTACAAATAATCCTTCTCACGCAAGGATGAAATTCCGTCAGAAATTATCCGAAGTTCATAGGATATGCCGCAATCACGCTTTCACGAAGAATCACCAGAGTGAAATCAGACAACACCTTAATAAGCAGCATTAGGATCATAGTAACATTAGACAGCTACTCATAAACTATACGAAAATACCAGCAAAATCAAATAGTAAAAACAGACTTATAATCCTTGAAGTAATAGTCACGTAACAAAAACAAACATCAATATATAAAAGCAATTATAACTTAAAAGCCCGCTAACTCAAATTTATATAGAACACACACACACACACACGTTACACCTTGCCCACATTACAATACCAATTATCTCTACCTATCCTGATGATGACTTAAAGTCGAAAGCTTAGGTCATATCTCTTGTACTTTTCTTTTCGAAATGAACTTCAGTCAATTCCTGGCGAAATTTCCTCATTGTTTGAGAAGGATTATTCATAATTTGAAAAAGTCAATCGATAAAAAAAAATTAATCGACACAATATGTCTGTCATTTTTGATAATATTTGCCATATATATATATATATATATATATATATATATATATATATATATATATATATATATATATATATAATAAAAAAAGAAAGAACAGTAAGATATATAATCCGGTGTTCTTATTGATATTTTCCTTTTACAAAACAGTGCTGAATGTAAATTTGCAGATCTTAAATATTATAAATTAACCGATTTAAAATATGGTTTCTTCACCTATTTAACTGGTTTAAAATATAGTTTCTTTGCCTATTTTTAAATTTTAAATTAGTTAATATATATATATATATATATATATATATATATATATATATATATATATATATATATATATATATTTCCTGTAGTTTTTCATGTCAATTTTCTACATACAAACACGCGTAATAACGTGACCTCGTCAACCGCCAAACAGGGGCGGTAAGACAGTTTCGGTGGCTAAGGCGGTACTCTCACCCCTGGTGCCACCAGCGGTCTTTGCTACCG